TTTGAGGATTTTTTTTTTCTCCTTAGCTGAATTTTCCTTGGCGCCAAGGGGGTAGGTTTAAAGGATCACCCAGCTCACAGGAACTGTTTTCAGTCCAAGCCACATCCATGATCCTCCCTTCCCACTCAAGCCCGTCAGGGTGACCATATGGGAACTGCTGACACGGAGTATCGTCAGCCCAAATCAAAACAGGACCTCAAAGCTGTGGACCGGATGCTCATTTATGGGAATTCCTTGTCAGCCGGCTTTCCCGCAGCCCTCGGTCTTCAAAACACGTGCACATCGGCACAGCAGCATCTGCTTCCTTGGAATGTGCTGTCATTGTGGAGTCCTGCAGGGCACAGATGAGGCGTGTGCATCACAGCTGGTGGGTGCTGCAGATGGAGGGCCCAGCACAGATGCTAGGCATGGGAGCTGCAAGCCTCCGTTCTGCTGCTCAGTCCATGCTGGCCTTAAGCAAAGTTGTTTCCTCTAGAAGAAACCTCTCCTTCTCCATCTTCCCTTCCCCTGGCAGGCAGCGAGTTGATTTACATGGTCTATAAGGTCCATCCAAGGGCCTTAGAAATCAAGGTCTACCTGTATCACTGTCTTGTCATTGGCTTAAGTCAGGCCTAGAGCAGAATTTACATTTGAAAAGAGCCAGTCTTGTCTGGAGGGATGGTGCAAACCTTTGATCCCACCACTCGGAGAGCTGGGGTGGGGGCAGGAGCAGGTGGATCTCTGAGTTTGAGGCCTGCCTTGTATAGTCAGTTCCTGGCCAGTCAGGATTTGTCAGAGAGACCCTTTTGGAAAAGAACATCTATTTCTTTCTTCTTTTAAATCAATTAAGCTGTAGGAGAGCCCCATCCTGTGAAGGTCTAGATTTTAAGTTGCAATCAGTAGCAAATGCTGTCTGTAGTCAAATTGTTAAAACTCTCTTTGATTTGAATGCTGCCATATAGCCAGGAAATGCAAGATTTCCCCAGACAATGAAACAAATGACATTTAACTGAACGTCAGATCAAATGGCTGCTATTTAGAGGAGTCAGGAGGTGAGGGGTGTGGAAATACGGACCTCCAGGCACAGAAGTTCACACCTCCCATTTCAGGTTCACTTCATGCTATCTGCTTGTTCAAAAGAAGCATGCAACATTTCAGTTCATTAGCTCCTCTCTCACACCCACCCCGTTTCTCTCCCCATTGCTCTTCCTCTCGACTCCTGCCCCCGAAGCTCAGCTAGTACCTAGTAAGTGTCCAGAGGATATAGTGCCGCTGTTCTGTCAATCCCGCATCCCTTAGATAATGAACAATTCTCATAGAATTTCCACCATGAGCCCTTTAGCTCTGGTCCATAGTCAGCCAGCCTAATACATTGCATGACGGCCAGATACCAGCCTCTCACTATATATCCACCCTTTGTAGAACTGCCGAGGGATCATCTTCTAATAGCTCTTTGTTTGTGTTGTCCTCATAATCTTTCAAAAACCTGCCCACTTCCTAACGATGCCCAAGAATTCTGTAAGTAAGCTATCCTAAGATGAACACTACCCAAACTGGGTCCTCAAAGACAAACCAAAGACAAACATTACCATCCTGCCCTCTAGGAATTCACAATTTCAAAGAATACAAAAAGACGATTAAATAATTAAAATGTTAAAAAACTTACACAAGAAACATAAGTCAGTACACACACACACACACACACACACACACACACACACACGTGTGAGTGGTCACTTCTGGGTGGTCGGAAAAGGCTTTGGGAAGTCCTTAGTGTTTGAGATAGTTCTTTAAGGGTGAGTGGAAGCCCAGCATTGCAGTTTCTGGAATGGAATGTGTCGGCACATAACCACGGTGTGAAGATTGAAAAGGACCCAGTGATGAGAGCAGAGAATAGTTAGGGTTGACATGTCTTAGGGAGGTACACGAAAAATGCCCAGAACAATTAACGTAGGGAGCGACTAAGAAAACGTCTAGTAAATTTGGGTTTGCAAATGGCATCCAAAGTGACAGACAAGTGATCGACTGGTTGAATTGATTTGGGGACTTAAGAGCGTATACCCATAATCATAAACAAGTGATCAGTAGATTCAATCAATTCTTCAATATATTTTGTTCACCAGTTTTATACGCACTTACTCTGTTTTAAAAAAGAAAATTAGTAACAATGACCAGGAAAAAAAAAACCAATAATATCAACACAAAACCTCTGATCTCACACAAAATCCTCATTTCCTTTAGAAAACCTGGCAGTACTGGGAGACAAACAGCTGGTACCCAGTAAAATTGACCATGTAGCTAGGGCTCCCCCACACTCCACGGACCCCTCCTCAGCCTAATGCCAAAGGTTTCTCACATCTTGCATCGTTGCTTCCCTTGTAGTGAGGAATGTGAAACTTTCCCCTTCAGTGTGTCTACCAAAATAGGAAACAGGAACGTGCCTCAGAAGGCGTATACTTCAAGGAAAATTATTTGAAAACATTCTTTGTGGAATGAAGCATCTCTGTCTGCATTTAATGTGTAAAATATGTTTCTGTCTAAAGAAAAGCCCCCTGCTTCAGTCCTTTATGCTGTCGGTGTGGCATCATGTGGCATTTGAGTCTAGGATTTCCAATGGGAAGAGGACATGGAGGTGGCACACTCAGTAGCAAGTTTGAGTAAGTTTGATCTTGACATTTAAATACAGGAGTTAGGCACAGAACATGACGGGAACTTATTGACTAGATTGAGTGTACATGGGCTGGTTGGCTAGGACACGTGTCTGGAGGAAGCTCACGGATCCCTGCAGCAAGCACAGACAGAGCACCACAGGAAACAGGTGTACAGGGGAGAGAGAGCATGAGAGCTTCCAGCCCAGGTTCCGAAAGCCGGGTCACTACTTTTCACATATGGAGATTGGGAGTAGGCAGCGACCAACAGGTTTAGAACGGGATGTGTGGAAGAGCGCTGAGCCTGGAACACAACCGGAAGCGCTAATCCAGATTTTAGGATGGAGCTTAAAGGGAAACAAGGATCAAATTAACTGAGTCACTCTGTATGAGACCCCTTGGCCAAGCTGCTTCATCATCTCCCTTAGCTTGGGCTTGTTGTCAGCTTTGTAAAACTCCAGAAGGGGCACAGTGTCTTTCTCACGGCTTGAGGCAGCGTAGTCTGCTGTGGAGTGCGCTGGAAACCGTAGTCGGATTCAGCGGTTTGGAAACTTTGAGACCTAAGGTCAGGTCCTGCAGCCGCCTCTCACGGGAGCAGCGCTTCCGCCTTGGTGTCCTTATAAAATGGAGAAAACAGAACCCCTTTCTCACGGGTTCATTGTGGATGTAAATGATGGGAAATGCTTGAAATACCTAGGTCCGATGCAGATCAGCTAAGAAAGGCCACTTGGCATGGTGCGAGCTGGAAAGCAAACCACTTGCCTGGCATCACCAGCCGGTCTGTGAGTGCCCACGGCCTCCTCTGTTCCCCCTCTCCTTGCTGAGTCACTCAGTGGTTTCAGGTAATTCCTACTAAGCGCTTTGAGAGGACTGTTTCAGGGCAGGAGGCAGTGTGTCCGGCATCACAGATTTTATGGCAGTTTCTAATCTGCTGCCACAGGCAACTCTTCTCATGGAACAGGAAACACCGGTATTATTATACTTACCGTACAGAGAAGGAAATTGAGGCACAGAGAGAACTGCCCAAGTCCCTCTGGAAAGACAGATCTCAATCTCTAGTCTTTGCAAAACCAAGACGAGATTCCATTTCCCCATGGTGCCCCTTCCATGCCAGTTCTAGTCTGGAAAGGTCCTTGAATTGTTTCTTAGCCAATGTACTTTTTTCTAAAGCAACAGTACGCCTGTCATGGTATTTTAGTGAAATTTGTAAAATGACTTGAAGGGTTTTGAGGGTTCCTGTTTTGTCTAGATTCTGCTAAGCAGCTTTCTCTTTTATCCTGACTTTGGGAGAAAACTTGTTTTAAAAATAATAAGGAATGAAACCTGATCCAAAGGTTGGGACATGCTCAACTGATACGTTTGCGATGCAAACGTTCCAAGTGACTCCCACTAGACTGCCAACCCCGGGAATCCAAGGCTGTGTCTGTGTTTTCTCTGGTAACAGGCACAAGCCTGGGTGGGACAGAAAGAGGCGCCATCCAGGCAGCTGTGCAGAAGAAAGAACACCATGCTTAGAAATCAGCCATTGGCTGAGGATGAGACCTCGGGCATGTCACCAGTGCCTTTTGGGCCGCAGTTTTCTCAGTGAGGGAAGTTCACTAGTGGGTTTTTCCAGGTCCAGTTTTCGTTGGTCTGAGATCCAGTCCAACGCCCTTTCCCCCACGCCACATGGGTTAGTCTGTATCCTGCTGCATAATTAAGATAGAAGTCTTCTGACCTCAACGCCTGATTCCATTACAGCTCTCTGTTTACTTAAGTCATACCCACGACCTTCAGGCCCTGCTGGCCCCAGCTACGGCAGTGGCTCTGCTCATTCTCTAGGAGGGGACAGGAGATCGTGACCTCAGAAGGAAATGAGAACTAGATGAAGGTTTTTCTCGAATGGGTAATTGTAGTCCTAGCACGATTCTTCCCTCTGGGATGCTGGGTCCCAAATACCAATTGCCACTAACTGAAGAGAGCGAGGAGGTGACAATGAGCTTCAGAAAAGTGTGACCAAGTCTTATTTTAAGCAGGAAATGCAAGCAGCACAGGCTCTGGAGTGATGAGAAGCAGAAGGAAGCATTTCATGCTGGGGCCAGGAAAGTAAGCTAAAGTGGGGATGGACGAGCATGAGACAGATTTGCTCTGTGGGGTGTGGGTGTACAGTGGACACAGCTGTGCACTTCTGTAGCTGTGCACCTACAGAAAACTTCTGGGTCAATAGCAGAGCTGGAACTTACTGTCCTTACCGAAGAGAAGAGAAAGGGGGAAAGGTGTTCCTTCAAGACGTACCGTGTAGCTACAGTGTTGAAGGTACAGCCGCTAGGCCACATTGCAATGAGTAAGCAGGCAATACACAAGAATAATCACCATTGTATCTAGCGAGTAGAGAGCAGAAGACAGAGCCAGCATAGGGTCCTGTGGAAGCGGGGCCTGTGCTGTGGTTTGAATACGGCGCCCAGGGATGTCTTGCCGAGTTGGGAATATTTGAGCAAAGGAAACGATGAGGGTCTTAGTTGTGTGCTTCCTGGAGAAAAGGCACTCAGATAGGACAGCACATGGACCCTCAGGCAGAGAAAGGGCTGGTGTGTCTGAAGAAGGAAGTTAGAGATGGGGAATGGCAAGTTGAGACAGATCAGACCAGGGAGGGAGGCTGGGGAACAGGGCTCCTGCAAGGTGCTGCAGGGGATGCAGATCTTTTGGACAGTTGATCGCCTGGACACCTGATCCTTTGCCCTGGCTCCAGGTTGTATGCTTGGAAAGCTGAGGCCTAGAGACAGCGATATGTGCATTCAGAAAAGAAGGAAAGGAGAGAGCATAGGATGGGCAAGAGATGAATCTTCGTACATCATTCTTTGTTTGAATTCAAAAGACATTAAAGCCCCAGGAACAATAGTAGAACAATGCTAAAATAATTTAGAAATGATGAGTTTTCATAGAATTCATTTATTTCTAATATGGCTTGCTTAGTTGGTTATTTTTCTTTTTTTAAAAAAACTTAAGCTTTAAGGATTGCTGTAATAAATAAAAGCAAAACCCCAGAAAATTTGATAGCTGAGTCTTGGAAGCTAATACGCATTTTCAGATTCAACATAACACAACATGGCAGAATTAAAGTAACAAAAGTGTGACAGGGGTTATGGCAAGGACCCAGGGCCCCTGGCTCCATATCTCCAGCACCCCTGAGGATTTCTATGCAAAGATCTGAGGATATAAGGATGAGGTTTGGGAGGACAGGGTTCAGAGCTGTGGCAGTGCACACAATAGCTCACACATTCCTGGGCTGATCACTGTCTCCTCTCAGTCCAGACTGTGACATACCTTGAGTCTGGCAGCCCTGCTAGGGAACACAACCACCCTTTGTTTTTTTTCCTGTCCCCAAGCTATTTTCCTGCCCTGAGTTGTGGGGCCCAGGCTCCCAACACTAAAGGGATTTGCATGTGAATGAGCAGCCCCCAATCCTCGAAGAGGTGAGATGGAGAAGCCCAAGCCATTCATTCATTCACAGCTAGAGAGACTGTAAATCCACCCTGGCGCCCCTCCCCAGCTACAGTACCAGGAGCTCCCTTGCTGCCCCACTGCAGCCAGCTCCAGTTGAGAGTGGGGCACTGCTGGTTCCCACCTGCGGGATGCCTGGATGCCAATCCCCAGGCTCGGGGCCAGCCCCTCCCTTCCCTGTCAGTCCTTTCTTCTCTTTCTGCAAATGCTGATCTTTTCTGTTCACTATCCTTCCTGGCACCAGTGCTACCCACAGACTCTCAGGCCCCCTTGTTCTTTATGATTTCTGCCCTTTGCACAGAGGCAGGACCTTCCTAGGGTACTGTCAACCTCCATTAAGAGGTTTTCCTGTGATTAGCTAAACAAACAAACAAACAAACAAAAACAAAGCGACACCACTGTCCTGGGAAGATCGGCACACCTGGGCCATCATGATGTGACTTTGAGCAGGATTCAGCTTCCCTACCTAAGAAATAGAAGGTGTACACGTTTAAGGTCCTTGGCTATTTTTTCCAACTCTGACCATCTATAGAATTTTCTGATTCTAATTATTTGACCAGAGTTGGAAGTCAAGACGTGTGAATTTGATCTAGGTTTCCTATTCACAGGCTGTGTGGCCCTGGGAAATTCATACAACCTCTCTGGGCACTAAATTGTGATGTGTGCCTGAGGCACAGTCATCATGTGATCATTAGGAGAAAATAAAACAGAGATAAAGATGCCCCACTGGAATGAGGATGAATCAGCATCAGCATCTCATTTGCTGGCTGATTGATTGATTGGTTGAGACAGGGTCTTACTGTGTAGCTCTCATGGTCCTGGAACTCACAGAGATTTACCTGCATGAGCTACCCCTTCTGGATATTCATCATTTATTTTTTAAGGCCACATGATGTGGGCCAGGACTGAAGCATCAACCTCCCAGCACATCTATCTGGAGTCAACTGAAATCTTCCATCTGCCAGCTGGGTCAATTCACAGGCATGGCTTTCAAGAGTCTTTTCAATGTACTACTCATGCGGCAGCCTGCTACAATCTACCTCCTCTTTCTCCAGGCCCAGGTTCTTGTCTGGGGTCTGGTACTCTTCATCTGCTTCTACCCAGGCTCTTTGAATGAAATTTAAAGTCACAGACTAGAGTAGCAAGACCGGACTGTCAGCACTGGCCTGGCCGCTGAAGGTGAGGGTGGTCCCCTCCTTTTTAGCAAATACCCCTATTATACTTCTGTATATGTTAGGTTTTCTTTTTTAAAATCAAGATTCTGCATGTTAAGGAAAAATATTGAATAGTTGCCATTCAAGTTTGGCTTATTAGAGTGATGTGTTTTTAAGCTCAAGATTCTTTTTAAATCTAAAAACAAAGAACAACCTGTAGTTTGGCATTGATTCCTTCTACTTGGTGCTCCCAAAGCATGTGCTCAGTGTGTGTGTGATCGCATCATGTTAGATAGTCTCCCTTGTTAAGACTTTTCTAAGACTATTTCCTGGTCAGTCTACATTCTCCGTTAATGTGACCTCTTAATGGGAATTTGTACACACACATGTATTCACACACACACACAGCATGTTTATTATGTTTGAATCTTTCCCCCGAGGTTAAATTCCCATGGAAATTTGTAGACACACACACACACACACACACACACACACACACACACACATGTTTACTACATTTGACTCTTTCTCCCAAGGTTACATTCCCATGGGAATTTATAGAGACACACACACTCATACATACATATTACACACACATATCATATTTACCACGTTTGACTCTTCCTCCCAAGATTAGATTCCCATGGTAAGACCAGGGATAACTTTGCAAGTGTAATCCCAAATGGCCTGATCAGTCTTGAAAGGTACCAAGTTTCTCACTTCCTCGGATGCTAGTGTAGAGGTGGTAATTGCTCTTCTGGTTAAGGGTGTAGTAGGAAAAGCTCAGGACAAAGACCAGGAGACTTTTAAGACTCCAAGAACCCATCAAATTGTCATAATACAAATGTCCACTCACAAATATCAGACTCCCTCACTCTCCCCAAACACTTCTTTCACAAGTCTGTCTCCACAAGTTCTCTTCCACTGTGTGATGAATCCCTCCAGCCCATTATAGCTACACAGCATCGTGCTGCTTGTTCAAAATGCTATAGTTGGGAGGTTGACCTGGGACTGGTGGAATGGTCCTTTGGTGGGTTAGCTTAAAGTCAGCTGAGTGCTGACAATGGTCAGAGATTCACTGAAGCTCACAGCTGCCAAATGACCTCACATGCCCATCTGGTGGTTAAAGGTGAGGGTCAGTTGGATGGTCTAGAGACCCCATGTAGACAACGCTCTCTGTCCTTCATCACTCTGTACTCCAACAGGCCTCCGCAGACTTCTTCTCCTGGGGACTTCAGAATAGCAATCTACGTGTAAAACAGTGTTAAAGGGAAAGAGTTAATTATCAAACAAAACTGTGCAACAACATTAAAAGGCCAGCGTGCAAGCTGTACTTAACATCACTCCCGTCTAAGGACAGCAACAGCGGGATCTCCTCTCACTAAGACTTAGCTAGGACTATTTCCAGATCATTGCAACTTCTCCATTAACGTGACAGCTAACGGGTCCCTAGTGTTCACTGTTAGTACGAATTAACTATTGCTTATGGTTCTATTAGTACAGTCTGTGGTCCCTGTTCAAATACAGCCCAGGAAGGCAGGAATTCACAGAGTAGAAAAACAGTTCGTAGGAAACATTGGAGTTAACAGGTGTCACGGCTAAACTGATCTAACAAGCTACTTGGTGACATACCTGGGTGCTCAAACATCACCCTAGGAGTAGTGGATGCTGGGGAAACTTATCAGATACCTAGGGGGATGGGGCGGAGTCCTTTCAAGACTGCCCTAGCGGGGCTCCTTGCTAATAATCATGGGTGTGATTTTACACCCATGAGCCTAACAGAAAACTCGGAATCTTTACTAAAGCTGAGACAAGCAAGGAATCTTTGTCAATAGCTAGGACTGTGTGGCCTAAGCTCAGAGAAGCCACGCCGCCTGGGACACACAGCGTGCTTTTGTCAGCACAAGCTATCAGCTCAGTCCAGGAGCAGCAAGGTCACATAGCAGAGGGGCTATGGTCAGGAAGGAAAGAGACAGGTGCAGGTGCTTTCGGAAACACTATACCACACTCTCTGAAGGCGATCACTCATGCCCGCTCCACACACTGAACACAATTATTACCCTGGTACCTAATTTCATTAGGAGACTGGATTTGAAGTACAGGCCCCTCACAGACCCAACAAGGTACAGATGAAACCCTCACAGCAGACTCTTGAGTGCAGTTTCTTTTTGCCATACATCTCTGAACTGCAGGGACAATTATTTGACCCCCGCCACATGCCCAGGGTCTGATTCTCTTTGTGGTGTAAGAAGAGGAGGATCACAGGAGAGCCCTCACTGAAAAGTGGGGAAGGATGGAAATACCACAGCAATTACCTCTCCATAGTCATGACGAGATTCTTGGGTGGCCTTCTCAAGAACTTAGGCATGTTCTCTGGCTAGATCCCAGTCCACTGCTCTCTGTGGCTCTGGACTACTGACTTAATTCCGCTTCCAGCTTCATAACTTCATCTCCAGAGATGAAGACCAAGGCCCTGTTTGCAGTTAAGTGCTAGCGACCCATTCTCTGTACATGAAGCTTTGAACCCAAGACCCCATCTCTTTTGGAATTGTCTTGTCATTTCCAGTTGAGGGTGGCATGTGCCCTTGAAGTTCCTTTTGGGTCTTCTAAATGTGAGAATATAGTTCTTCATACAAAAGAACAACAGATAATAACTACAGCCAGAGTTCCTTTCTGGGTTGGCTTCTGTGCTTAGGAGAGCACTTCAGAGCCCCCAAGATTCATAGCTCACCTCTGGTTTGGATGATAAGGAGCTCCAGGCACCACCTTGAGGCCTCAGAGCTTAACACACAGGTCTCAACACTGTGCCTTTAACCTCATCCTTACCTTACAGCTCCTTTCTAGAGAAAGAACTGATTCCTGGCCTCGTCCTGACCTCTCAGAAGTGTAACTTCTCCCACTTCTGATTGCTCAGTGAACATTGCTTCTTCTTCTTGGTGGCTGTGTGGTGTATGGGTAGTGGCATGTCCCCACACGCAGTGCTCTGTCTGGATGTCTCCTGAGCCAGAACCAACAGCCAGCTGTGACGACGCCAGCTTCTAAGCCACCTCAGCTGGTTTCCCAATTAATTCACTACTAAAGAGCTCACGTGGTTTGCATGAGTGTGTGTGTGTGTGTGTGTGTATGAGGAAGAGAGAGAGAGAAAGAGACAGAGAGAGAAAGAGACAGAGAGAGAGAGAGAGATACTCCTATAGTGGTTTACTTAGAGTCTATTTGTGAGCCAATCCCTAACCACAAGCAATGGAAATAGTTTCCTGACACGCTAGTATTCTACTTCAGTCACATTAGGTCAGGAGAATTGAAACAGAGACCGAGCATTGGGAGATCACGAATGTTAGCGCTCATGCCACTGTAGGAAGAACTAGGGGAGTGAACGTTGGAAACAGAAAGTTAGAGGACCACAGCAGAAGCTACCAGGCAATTCTCCTGAAGGCTTGACTCCTGTGGAAAAGTTGACACCTACAAAGGAATCTATTAAAAAGGCCTTGAAGAACTCTTGGCTCAAAGAAGGCAGCACCTTTATGGGTCCACATTCCAGTATCGATGGTAGGCATGGACCATGGCTGGCCCTCAGAGCCTGGTGTGGAAGGGAGGACCAAGTGTATAGAGGAATAAGAAGAGAAGTTAGAACATACCAGGCTTTCTCCCATCTTTCCAAAACCACCTTGACAGAGTAATGGTTACTGCCTTCCAGATTTGCACAAGCTCTTTGGGCCAACCCTAGAATTACACAGGAAGGAAACCCTAGGGGCTCAGATCGGCTAAACTCTTAGTAAGGTATTCCAGCATTGATGCTGATGTCTGCCTACAGTAGGTTTGAAAAGTTATTCATGGGCCCAGAGTAGGTTTCAGAAGGGCCCTAGTAGAGCTTGGGAGTGTTGACGAGCCAAGTACAAGCGTCAGGACTTTGGGAAAGGCTTTCTCTGTCTACTGTTACTGTTCTCAAAGCAGCTCCAGCTTGGGGAATGAGCAATCCCAAGGGAGTCTGGAGAACTCAAGAGGAGTCAGAAGCATGTAGGAGAACCGTCACGTTATAATTCTGGGCCCGGACCCTGTGGCTCCCAACATTCATCTAACGCTAGAGCGTGCTTCACTCGCTGGTTCTTATTTGTGTTGCCCAATCCACGAAGCTTGTCCGCACATCACTTTCGTCTTTTGTGGAGCAAGAACCGTGTCTCCAGAGTTGCTGTCTCCAAGTGTTCTGAATGAAGCTAGTGTGATACATCCACACACATGTGAGCCCTAGCTGTCTTACCACAGTGATTCACCCGGCTTCCTGGTACCCACCTCAGCTTTTCCTGCAAGGTTTATGTCTAGAAAAGAATTATGGAAAACAAAAACTAGCTTCTCTCCAGAGACATGCTGTCCAGTTCCCTGTACAGCAGAGCCTCTCCTGGTACAGTAGGTGGCTGGGGTGTGAAGGTGTACACTTGATGGAGGCTCTACACACCCTAAGTCTTCACTCTGCCCTCCCTCACCTCTCTCAACTGCCCAAATCCTACTCACCTGCTGTTCGTTGGTTCTAAGGATAATCTCTTTCTTCTTGGGTGTTTTCTTTCTTTCTCTTCCTTTTTCTTTTTTTTTGGTGGTACAAGGGTATCAATCTCAGGGCCTTTCACAAGCTGGGCAAGTGCTCTACAACTATGAACTATGTCTCTAGCTCCCACACATTTTCTGGACCCTCTCAGCTGGAGATATTTGTTTTCCCTCTTAAAGCCCAAGGGGGCCTATCTTTCAAGGCAGTTACCTTAGCACACACATTTGAGCATTTCTATTATTCTTCTACTAAATTTCACTTCTCCAGAGGCAGGGGGCCATGCCTCTTAGCTCATGTCACAGAATAGTAATTTTGGACATCCTTCATGTTGTAGTCCAGACAGAATTCAGTCCATAAGTGTCTACTCAATGGAGTAAAAAGAAAGCAAACTGACGGCATGGAACCACACGCCGGTGGCCCACATAACAATAGCTTACAGCAATGTGGTTGCCGCCATCGGAGATGGGGAATGCAGAGTGTGTGACCCTCAGTCCCATGAGCCTCTAGTTATGAATTCCACGCTTGCACTCGACCACATTGATATGTTAACTCCAGATACAAGGGCAGTCAGGACAGAAGCCACAGCTCGATCTTGCGACACACAGAGGCAAACAGTCTTTGCAGGACTTTCTAATCCTGCCACGGAATAGAAATGTTTACCAGGGTCACTGAGCCTTCTATTTAGGTTCTGGCTGGAGCTGTCACTGAGCCACATTCTCTCTGGGAGAAAAATCCATGAACTTCAGATAAGGTTTCAAGAGGTTCTTGAGCCAGGGAGATTGTTTGACCAAGTGTCTGTCCTTTGTCACACTCTGTGTTTTACTTGCTGGGTTGGCGGCTTCTCCCCAGGTCACTGAATTGTTCCAAAAACACAGCTGATATCAGAGGAGCTCCTGTTATCTCTTTGTTCTTCTGGAAGGCACTTCCCGCTCAGGTCTTCAGCTTCCTCTGGAAGAAGGGAGATTAAATCTCTTGCAGGTCCCTCTCAACAGCAGGGTGCTCAGCTTCTATTCTGGGCCACGGGTTGAATTCTTTGGGTCTCAGACTGTCTCTTGTCTACTTCTAAAAGAGTCTATGACTCAGTTTTCTTGGCTCTCAGCTAGAGCGTGCATCCCTGTTCTCTAGACTGGTGTGGCTTGGTAGGTGATGGCCACTGAATCAGCACGAAAAGCTCCTCCATCCCAGAAGTAGCGAGATTGAGGATGATCATTAGAGGCGCTCAGTAGATCCTTCCCAGTGTTCTGTGGTTGATTTTCCATGAACAAGCCTGTGCTTCCCACACTGCAAAAACCAAGAGAGAGTGAGGCTGCCAGGCTATAGGAAGATTTCCATGCCCGAGCCCTTCTTGCTTAAGGTCTGACAGTTCATGGGTATAGTCAAATGTGTCAATGTGGTTCTTGAATGAGCTCAACTTCACCAGGTTGCCTAGATCTGTGTGATGAGATGGCTGCTCACCACTTTGCAGTGCATGCCTTCAGTGTTTGGAAGTGATGACATTTTCGGACAGCAGTTCTCATACCGATCAGCAAGTTAAAACACCTTCTCTACAGGTGAAGCATCACAAGGTGGAGATAGGGGAGCCGGAGCCGGAATAGGAAGCCTGGGTGAGGTCTGTGGTCCACACATCTTACAGCACTCCAAACCATGAACACTAAGCCAGAACACTGGCTTTGCAGTTACCTGTTGAATCTCTTCCCTAGTCCTTCTCCTCAATCTATTAAGTCTCCTTTCTGTTAAATTCCAACAAGAGCACTCTAAGTAGGTTCTAATTTAGTTTACAATATGTTAAAAATAAGCAGACAGAAACACATAGCCACTACACTGATTGAAAGATACAAAATAGAACACTTCATAATGAAGGCATAAAAGACTGCAAAGGCTGAGCAATGTGCCAGGCAGGCAGGGCAAACAGTGCTTGACTCAGTATCCCCGATGGTCCCACTTTAATGTAGTGTCGTGACATTTGACATTTGTGATGTTTGAGCTCAACAAGGAAAGCTTTGTGTGTTTAACTTCAGAAAATAGTGATTCAGATAAAATACTCCTTTGAAAGAAAGCACTCCGCTTAATAGAAAAGGCTTTTAAGGATTACTGATAGAAAGCCTTCAGTTATCTGGAACACCCCATTAACTGCAATAGTAAGGCAGCTGGGAGGCAGAGGAGTGGGGCTGGAGCTGGGTGAGGAAAGGCATAGTCTGCTGTCAGAGGCTGTGGGAGATCGCAACTCTCTGCAGAGAGAACAAATAGCAAAGCCATGAGCTCATCTCCTGTTTACACTTCAGTTTCCAACATTAGTGATTAATTGTCCCTGTGTTTTGTTGCCAGGGCAAATTGCTTTCCTTCTTATTTTAAATAAATAAACCATTAGTCTCAAAACAGAAGTGTCAAATGTCAAGATATTCTGCCATACTGTGCTAAGGATCAGAACAATGGGCTTATTAAAAGCCACTCGAGACAGACAGTCTTTGAGACCTTCCCTTTAGTGGCAGAAACCGCTCTCTGTAGGACTTTCTCCTGTAGCTTGGTTAAAACACCAATGCAGATGTTACAAACAGAAGCACAGGCTTAAAGGAATCAAGTGAACTTTCAAGCCACAGAACAGGAGTAAGGAAGTAGGTTAAATGTGCATAGTCAATGAACTACACCAACCAGCTGTTTCCCTGAACAAGACACAAAGTCTTGTTAAGCAACCAATAGATTACCTCTGCTTTGGTTTCCAAATATGCACAGGGTCCCTGGCTCTTCCAAAGGAAGGAATTCTTTAATCAAGTAGGGAAATTTTGCATCTGATCCCAACACATGTACATGCATGCAATTTCCGGATGCCTCCAAAAGACCGTTGTTAGCTTTTTTCAGGACTCCCTATTAAATATCATTACGAGTACATGAATTCTCATTTCAAAGTTTTCAGCGTCTTCCGTTCACAGCATTGACGTCATCAAAGGCCAACCACAACGAGCTGCAGTATCCTTCCCAGCACAGCGGCCTGCTCCAGTTTTCACTAACCCCCTGGCTCCTCACGGGCCTCACACTGTGTCTCGAAGCTTTAGTCCCTGTTAGCAAATATCGATTGGATAAACAACTATGTGCCAGGTTCTATTCCATGTGACGGTGAACCGGCTACTAAAACCCAAACACCCCTAAAACCCTGTAGCTTGTGTTTCACAGGGAACCCTTCACCGGCAACTGTTTCTGTGAATTCTCTTGTCACACTGTCACGGCTCCACGCGTGTCTGTTGGTCTGAACGCCGCCATCCCGTGAATAACACTGAGCCTTGTTCTCCTCTCATCGCCCCATCTCGCCGCGCCTCGTTCCGTGGCAGGCACACACTGGATGCTCTGTGAATGACCTTTTGTGTGTTGCTTCCTTTCCCTGGAAATGTGGTTAAATTCCTGCTGAGTATAGAACCCGTCTGTGAGGTTGTCTAGCTCTTTTTTTTTTTTTTTAATTCTCATTGAATTGTTTCCAGTGAGCAACTCACCTGGCTGGCAATAACGACAAATGCCCCCATAGTTATTGCCAGCCAGGTGAGTTGAACTAACTGGAGCAGAGGAAGGCGATCAGATGGCCACATTCACTTACCCAAGCCCCATGTCTGCCTCCCATCCCAGAGTCTCTTGTTTCCCCTCTTTAATTTCCCAGCAGCTCAGCCCTCTGTCTTCTTGGAGATCTGGAGAGAGGCTGACATGGGAAGGATTCATCTTGTTCCTGTCCCCTTTGACCCCAAAGGTAGAAACAGAAGATCAGGTGCTGGCAACCTTCTGTGGCCGGGAGACCACTGACACGGAGCAGACCCCCGGCCAGGAAGAGGTTCTTTCCCCTGGCTCCTTCATGTCTGTCACTTTCCGCTCGGATTTCTCCAATGAGGAGCGATTCACCGGCTTTGATGCCCACTACATGGCTGTAGGTAAGTCGCCTCATCCTCATGTCTGCCTTCATCCCTGGAGATGGAAACTGCCTCGTGCTCGCTCCTCGACCGACACCTGTGCTCCCACCCCGTGATTTCTTGCTGCATTTATTCCCTGGACCACAGATCCATTCATCTAGCCACCATTCATTCAACAATTTACCTTTTTGGAGACATTCCAGGGTAGTGACAGGCATCACTATACCGCTTCCTAGTTCAATGCCTGCTAGCAATGTTTTGTTTGGCTGTAGAATGCACATATGATAAATTTACACATCTTAGCATGCATTTAACACACATTAACTTCACTATCTGCCAGAAAGTTCCTCGTGTTCTTGTCCAGTTAAACTCCTCGCCCCCAGATCCCTCACAGGAGACAATGGTCCTGACTTTCTACTTCTGTACATTAGTTTGGCCTCCAAAATGTTACATAAGTAAACACACAGAAAATATAGTGGGAACAAGATTGTCCCTTTGCTCAGCATAATATTTCTAAGATTCATTTATTTTGAGTTAGCTCCCTGACAGAACTGTGTTCCAATGTGTGAATACACTGTAATGTTTTGGGGTTTTTTTTTTTGGGCGGTGGGGGGGGGGATGACCATTTTCCCATTGAGAGACACATGGGTTTCACTTTGTTTTTTCACTCCTTAATAAAGGTTCCTTCAACCTTTTTATGAACATATGCTTTCCTATTTATTGGTTAACATCTAGACACAGAATTGCCAGTTTGAGCACAGCTGTGTTTAGTCTTCCAAGAAATTGTCAGATTTTCTCCAAATAATTATGTAATTTGTAAAACAGTGTGTGACATTTCTGATGGCTCCATGTCCTCCACGTTAAATGTTGTCAATCTTTTTTCTCTCATTTTTATTTACCCTTGTGAATATGTGTGGGTTAAACTGTAGCTCCTGGTGGCTAATAATGGCAGACATCTATTTGTATACGTATTGGCCATTTGTATGTTTCTATAGAAGAAATAGATGTGCAAGCCTCTAGGATAGGACTTGATCTATACGGGGACAGAGGATGTGGGGATGCGGTGGTGAGCCAAGCTCTCCAGGTCCCGAGTTTTCTGTCTCAGTTTCTTCATCAAGAGGATGGGGGTGGTAAGACTGGCATGGAGTGTGACAATTGTTGTAACCAACCTGTGGTGATCACCTCTACCAAGGCTGAGATGGCCTAGGTTCAGACCTAGCTCTCCGTGAACTTAGAAGTTGCCTAACTTCTCTGGATTCTGCTTACCTCATTTGACAAAGGGAGATAGACAATGGCCACCTCTGGGCTTTACACAGGATCAAATGAAAGACAAGCATGACCCTCCACAAACAACCAATGCCTTTAAGTGCTTTGTAAGTGTGGCTTCATTGTCACGTGTGCAGTGACTGATAAGAGGCTCTGCCTGCCCCACAGATGTGGACGAGTGTAAGGAGAGAGAGGATGAAGAACTTTCCTGCGACCACTACTGTCACAACTATATCGGCGGCTACTACTGCTCCTGCCGCTTTGGCTACATCCTCCACACAGACAACAGGACCTGCCGAGGTAGGGCCGAGTGTGATTCTGTGCTTTGCCATGATGTGTCACATGTTCCAGGAAGATCAGCTGAGATACAGACCCATAGTGCATACAATGAAAAAATAAGTCAGGGCTGGGGTGATGGCTCGGTGGGTAAAGAGCTTGCTGCGCACGCATGAAAACTTGCATTCAGAACCCCAGCACTCATTTGGAAGCTGGCCTTGGTGATGCATGCGTGTAGTCCGGTGTTCACGAGTAGATCTGAAGAGCTTGCTGGCCAGCTGGTCTAACAGAGATGAAACAGTGAGCTCCAGGTTCAGTGAGAGACATGCCCCCAAACTTAGGTGGAGCACCCCAGGAAGATCCCTGACGTTGAACTCTGGTATCTGGATCATATGCTTGGGTATTTACACATAGACACATACAACCAAAACCAGACACAGCCAGAGAGAGTCAGAGAGACAGAGAAACAGAGACAGAGAGAGTGACTGAGAAGAGAGAGAACACTAAAAAAATAAAGTCAGAGATACACACACACATACCACATGGCTATATGCTGAGGTGCTCACTCCACTAGGAGTCTGGGGTCTATTGTCAGAGGAGCATACAAGCAACTCTGAAGTCAGGCTGACCTTCCTGGGCACAAAGTCTGCTCCACGGGTTTCTGTTTTCTCTCCTACTACAAGTAACCAACCTGACCAAGCCATGGGAAACCTGGGTTTTCCAGTCCTTTCCCTATGAGCCATAAATTCAATTAAAGGTTCCATTTTCTCTTTGCTCTGGTAGCCCCTCTGTCACTCTCTGACAGGGCTTAAAGCCTCGGGTCGAACGACAAGAGAGGAAAGAGGGTAAAGATAGCACGGAAGTGACTCATTCCTACATTGCTGAATCATCATCGACCACCATGGCTTCTGTTTTACCGCTTCAGGTTGGGGCAGAGAGGGTGAGCGAGGAGTAGTCCCCAGGCTCTCTGGGCAACAGCTGCACACAGACACTCTGGTGTTTAGATAAAGTCAATGCTACACTTGCCATGCTTGCGTAAAGGAAGCATGGTCACAGCATCCCCAGACTTGCGCTGGCCTGGAAATGTGACAGCTGTGTCCCTTGACAGAAGTGAAGGAATATGGAGAAGTTCAGCCACACAGGGAGAACAGATTCTAGAATCATTTGGAGGTGCAGTAGAACTTAGAACAGTTTGGGAATTGCCTGTGAGTTAGTATGGCCCAAGGTAGGATCCCACTTGAAAAGAGCTCAGGGAAGGAAGCCAAACCTGGAGACAGGCATACTTCTTCCTTCAAAACTTGCTGAATAAACTGCCTCCTACATAAAATCATTAACAAAAGGCAATATTTTTCAAAAGCAATTTTCTCAAAGAGAATTATGAAATCTCAGGGTCAAGGTTTCTCACTTCTTTTCACCCTGACCCCGGGAACCTTTTAGAGAAAATACCACAGATACGCTGTCCACCTGTTAACAAACCACATGCCTACCTGTGCGCTGGGAATACAAAGAGAAAGATTTCCCCTCCTCCAAACCATCCCTAGTCCTCCCAGGGCTGAGACTGACCCATGAAGATGCGGGAGGGAGAAAGTGAAAACAGATGCGGACTGGGGAGGCCTCTTTCTGCCGCTCTTGTTGGAACTTTACGTTAGTCATGCTTGCCGTTCTGGGCTACTGTTTTCTCATTAGCAAAATGAGCACAAAGAACAAAGACTTACAAAGCACAGACATGCCAAGCCTGGGAGGGGCCGGCCCAAGGGGCCAAGGTTCAGCAGGCCTATAATGGGCTAAGTCATGGCGAGGCTCCCAGGGAGCTGGATGTTGGATAGCAGAAACAAACAAACAAACAAAAATCAAAATCCTGGGGATCACAGGACTCAGTTTAGTGGGCGGTGGGAGAGAGTAACTGAGTGTGTGACATGATGTCATCGAGTGTGTGATGTCAGAGAGGACAGACTGGGCAGTCAACAAAAGGAGGACAGGGACTGGACAGTGAGGGTGTGTTGTGGGAGGGGGAGGGGCTTTTCTTAGGTGAGGACCAAGAATGGCTTTGAGCAGAGACCCAAGAGACAGACAGGCAAAGGAGGGGGCACAAGCCAAAGAGGTCGAGATGCAGCACCCGCCCCTCCATCTCAAAGCCCTTCTTTCTCAGAGTAGCTGCCTGTCCCTGCCAGAGGATCCCATGGCAAGGGGCATCATCCAGGGAAGCCCCATCTAGAGAGAGACTTAGAAAGTCTACAGTTGAGTCCTTTTCCACAGGGGGCGGAGGAGGGACCATCACCCTCCGCAGAATTTCAGTTTCTCAGTAAAATGAGGATTCCTTCTTTGCCTACTTCCTGAGAACACCGTAAAGATTACACAGTGGCAGATGATAAAGGGCTGGCTGTGTCTGTGCCAATGGAGTGCCGTTTTCTCTGTTCTGTTTTCTACAGTGGAATGCAGTGGCAATCTCTTTACCCAGAGGACCGGCACCATCACTAGCCCTGATTACCCCAACCCTTACCCCAAGAGCTCTGAATGCTCTTATACCATTGATCTGGAGGACGGCTTCATGGTCAGCCTGCAGTTTGAGGACATTTTTGACATCGAGGACCATCCTGAGGTGCCCTGTCCATATGACTACATTAAGGTAACCCTGGCTCAATTGGGTGAAAAAAAACCCCAAAAATAAAAAGCAATGTTCTGGGCTTTTGGCTTTTCATCTTCCCTTTGGATAGGGAGCTGAGTCACTAGCTTCCCAGCATGTCATTGTTTAAAACATTATTTTGGCTTCGTCACCTCCAGGTTGGGGTCTCCTCTGATTCCAAACTGGCACCCTGGTCACTAGGGTGATAGGAGGTAGAGAATTACAAAGTCAAATCTATACTTTAGGAAGCCTGATTCAGCATTATGGAGTGCACCCTGTAGAGATGCATGGGGTTTTACACTCAGAAAGAACTCATGCTTGGTTTAATGCACTGTAGACACCTTGAGCTTCTTAATATATCCCGAACAAGGTGCTCGTACTTTTTGTTTGTGCTAGATCCCACACGTTATGACGGTGGTTCTGTTTGAGGGAAGAGACAATTACAAAGGCAATAATGAGGGAAGAAAATGTCCAAGGCCAATAGCTACTCCATTTGAGGTTATTCTATTCTATGTTATAAGTCTAATACAAGGTAACCGAATTTTGAACTTTGGCTGGTATAGTGGGAGGAATAGGTCTCAGATA